AGTTACCGCAAATATCAGGTGGCTGTAATCACAGATTAGATCTATACCTGTGGTTATCGGCCCTCATCCTTGTCTCACACAATTAGCAATTAAAAATATACAGAATCCTGAACCAAACTTCCATCACAGACCTCATTATCTTTTTAGATGACTTATACGTGGTAGAGCCATGCTGCAGCTATATTAGTAGTATAGTTGTAACACGAATGGCTCGGCTCGACTGGGGAAGGACCACGCTCTCACAGAATACCAGCGTAAAATAGCAGCTTAATGCTGCTGTGTTTCGTATGATGAGTGTAGAGAACCGGAGACCCTTTTTACTGGAAACGAGGCATTCCATCTTAGTCCTCACGGGTGACAACGCATCTGCATTTTAATTCGTAATCGAGGATAAATGTAGATGTCTATGGGCCACAGCAACCACTTACCATCAGGTGGACTGTGTGCTCGTTTGTCACCCTTTATATATAAAAAAACGAATGGGTCGGCTCGACCGGGGAAGGACCACGCTCTCACAGAATACCAGCGTAAAATAGCAGCTTAATACTGCTGTGTTTCGTGTGATGAGTGTAGAGAACCGGAGACCCTTTTTACTGGAAAGGAGGCATTCCATCTTGATCCTCACGGGTGACAACGCGTCTGCATTTTGATTCGCAAACGAGGATAGATGTAGATGTCTATGGGTCACAGCAACCACTTACCATCAGGTGTACTGTGTGCTCGTTTGTCACCCTATCCTATAAAAAAAAAGATGTATTTCAAATTAGTTAACTTAATTAATATATTATGTAGTTTTAGTTTTGTTATGTATTTCGTCTTTCTTTGTAATTGTAATTGTTGTTTGTTTATTACGTACTATGTTCTGGTTTAAGTCTACAAGCAAATATTCTATGTACGTTTAGCGTAGAAAGTTATAAAATTCTAGGTAGTTTTGTCCTTAGTTTGCATTATATACTACTATTTTTTTCATTATATATTACTAGCTGATACCCGCTCGCTTCGCGGGACGCACAATAATATTTTATTGCGGAACATATTTTTTTTTTTTGATGGGTCTATCGTTAAATCCGTTCTTGGTAAGCGTATACATTGCGAAATGAGTAGTCTATCGGATGTATAGTTTTAGAGATCTCGTGATGAGTCTAATTTGTCAGTGGTATTATGCTTATATATATATACCAGTCTCCCACAGTATAATATTGAGGCTATACTATAATATTATGTACAATAATTCTGTATTGTGGTGAGAAAATAAAAATAAATTATTATTATTATTTTCTCACCACAACATTATATATGTCGGAGCGTCTATAAAATACCCGGTTGGATCGAGGTGCAATGGAGGGTATATCGAGAAACCCCCTCTTGTGTCTGTAGTATAAAGTTCACTGTAGGTGCTGTGCGCGGGGATTCCGCTTAAGTTATTCAACGGGTGTGGTCATTCTGCTAGTGCTAAGATAGTGTCGTGGTTCTGTTCGTTGTTGTAATTCTACTAGTGCAGGCAAGGAGGGATTGGTGTTGCCGTGCCTGCCCTATTTTACATTGAGATAAGTAGTGTGGCTGCCCTGTGTTACATTGAGATAAGTAGTGTTGCTGTTGGTTTACATATTTTGGTGTTATCATGTAATTACGTACCTCACGTTACACTGGTGTGTGATTGTGGTGGAGACGTGTTACGGTGTGGTCGAACTGTAATTTCACTATACTGAATGTATAGTGCGTTACGTTGTCTTATTTCTGATAATGATTAAACTGCGTAAGCAAGAGAGCAAGTTGAACATCCGCTCTCACACTTTTATTATTTTTAACAGTTAACGCTATCCTGATGTATCTCGGAGATCAAAATTGCGATCTCCTGTTGAATTCTCACACATCAGAAGTGGGATCTCGGCTTAGCTTTCCATTGACGTCAGTGGAGTTTGGTGTTGATACGTATTTTTACAGAAAGATTACACTTTTACAAAAATTACGCGTTTCCGTATATTGAGACTTTGTGTGTGTGCTTATAATAGTGTAATCTTTCTGTAAAAATACGTATCAACACCAAACTCCACTGACGTCAATGGAAAGTCGTACCGGGATCTCCTATCGTAATTTCCGATATATATAATTTGTTGTACTACTGAAATATGTTGCACCATTTATTTAAATGCACACAATTTACCTCACTACTATAGACTTAAAAATATGAGTATTATATTGTAATTTTGTCGATGAACCATTCAATATATAAATAAATTAGTCTTCTAGACACAGACATTATTAAATCAATCAGCAATTTTTTACAATTTGGGCGGCTGTAAATGTTTTAGTACAGCATAATAATTATATAAGCTGCAATGAGTGACTCATGTTTATAAAATTTTGATAAACACTTGGAGGGTAAGCAAGTAAAAAATATAAAAAAAATATTATTAATAATAAAACGTACGCGGTACGTGGCCCTTGTGCCACCCCAGCCGCACCTGAACCTACTGTCGCTTATGTTACTTGATACGTATTTCCGTATTTTTACAAATTTAACAGTACAGTAGTTGGTTAAATTTAGGTATCTGCTTATAGACATAATTTCTTTGCTAACCAATCGTGAATCTTGCTGATCAATTAAGTATTTTGCGGATTGACTGTTTATTAAACAAACTCATATTATTGTAAGCTGCCTATTTATGATTAAATTACTGAACATAATCGAGATTATTTGCGAAACAAGAATTGCCGAATGTTTCTTTTATTGCAAACAGAATCTTTGAATGCTAACCAAATGTTTTTTTTATAAGATAGGGTGACAAACGAGCACACAGTCCACCTGAAGGTAAGTGGTTGCTGTGGCCCATAGACATCTACATCTAACCTCGTTTCTGAATCAAAATGCAGATGCGTTGTCACCCGTGAGAACTAAGATGGAATGCCTCTTTTACAGTAAAAAGGGTCTCCGGTTCTCTACACTAACCATACGAAACGCAACAGTTTTAAGCTGCTATTTTACGCTGGTATTCTGTGAGAGCGTGGTCCTTCCCCTGTCGAGCCGACCCATTCGTAATATAGCTGCACCATGACTTTACCACGTATAAGAATGCTGTTGATTATGGCTAACCAAATTTTACTACGACTTAACATTTAATTACTTCTAATTATTTTTATATGTACCAATTTAAATTATACTGCAATTATTACGCCACTATTATTTAATACTGACTACTATATTATTCAAAAATTACTAATATCTAAATATAATTAAAAGGAACGACACTGCACAACAGGGAGAATTATTTACTTCTCCTTTTCAGATCAAAATTACCGTATTCAATATAACGAACATTGAAGATTCGTCAATAATGTAATTTTTGCTCGTATAAATTAGTTTTTTTTAATGAATAAACATTTCTCAATTAAGATTGTGTATTGATTTATTAAAATAATACGAATATCGAAATGTAATTAAACGAAACAACACTGATTAACTTCTCCCTTTCTCTACAAAATTAAAAATAACTGTTTTTTTTTTAATTATTTGATAAATTACTGCTCTATGTACCTATTCGATTTTTTTTCGGATAAAACAATCTAATTTAAGATTGTGCACAGCCGCCTCTGTTTATTTATTACTCTACAACGTCCAGTCCTTTGTGACGTTCGTTTTACAAACTACGCTACGCGCTTGCGAGAGCCTACCGCCATCTTTTTTTGTTCTATTTCGGTTATTAGAAATCTATTTTATATAACGTTCTTTTAAAATGTTATCTCGAGGAAACATTGATTATTGACTGTGAAGTTATTTACCGTCTAGTTAATTTTGTAAAAGTTCTTTTTTTTTATAGAATAAGGGTGAGAAACGAGCACACAGTCCACCTGATGGTAAGTAGTTGCTGCGGCCCATAGACATCTACATCTATCCTCCATTGCAAATCAAAATGCAGATACGTTGTCACCCGTGAGGACTAAGATGGAATGCTTCTTTTCCAGTAAAAAGGGTCTCCGGTTCTCTACACTCACCATACAAAACACAGCAGCGTTAAACTGCTAATTTATGGTGGTATTCTGTGAGATCGCGGTCCTTCCCCGGTCGAGCCGACCCATTCGATTAGTAATATAACTGTAGCATGGCTCTACCACGTAAAAAAATGTTTTATTAAAGAAAAATTGTACAAAAAATGTTATTATAATATCAAAAAATACATCAGTGAAAAAACTAATGGGATTGAGATGATCGCTACCATGCTGGTTGTATTAAAACTCATTTAAAAATTATACAAACAATATTATTGTAAAGTGAAATATGTTTAAAAAAAGTCCCGTTGGGTTTCTTGCTGGTTCTTCCCAGGACAGAGGTATTTTCCGAACCTGTGGTAAATAAAAAAATTACTTTCAGTAAGTATTATGCAATAATCTATAATTATGGAATTTTTAACGTGGTAGAGCCATGCTGCAGCTATATTAGTAGTATAGTTGTAGCACGAATGTGTCGGCTCGACCGGGGTAATACCACTCTCTCACAGAATACCGAATACTGGTAGTGGATATTATATACCACCGCTACACGGTCCAATAGCGGGACACATAGCTTAAAAGCAAGACATATGGTCTCCATACTGCTGATAACAATGGATATAGTGTTCTCAGTTGGATGGACCTCTCAATATCGTTTTAACCGATTCTAACTGTACATTAAATCTACAATTACAATCATTACGCAATAACCGAAAGAAATTGAGATGCCAGTGACCGTGGGAATATAAAAAAGTTGAAGTTTTAACGATTTCTTATATTTACGCGAACACTACTGTTCGCGCCGCTTTCGTCTTAGCGTTTTAAGTATTTATTATTTAAGTAAGATGTAATGTAACTCGTATAGCAATTATTATGTCTAACGTGTAGGTACGTTTGATTTGTTAGGCTAAGTAATAGTACTAAGTTTCACCGTAATTGTTTACGTTTAAGGTCCATATTTCTTTCTAATAAATCCATTTGTACTTCTACCAATGGCAAATCGTTACGTTTGCATACGTAATACTGGCAAACGACTGTTCAATTGAATTATTCAATGTACCTTTACCTTCTGGCCTCTTAATCTGTTAGCACGTCCTATTTAATATTTTTAAGATAATTGTGTACAAGTTAAATAGTACATTAAAATAGATTACTGAGACTCCTTCTAAGTTTCATTTCTTTGTACCATATTGTACAAAAGTGGTGACCGTGACAGGACTTGCTAATTATTCGTCGGATTTTGAAGATTAACCTACATTGATCAAAGGTGAAGGGCAAAGAGGTCATAGCCACGCCACGCTAACTCAGTACCTAGATCTACCGGAATACTACGGGATCAACTTATACTTCGTGCGCCGTGCAGCCAGACCACTACGACTTCCAGCTTCGGGATTCGGGAATAAACAGGAGCTTCGCACCAGTGTCTTCGCAGTCTACACCAGCAGACCGGCATCTACAGCTTGCTTGCGGAACCGCTGCGCTTGGACATTTTTTTTTTAACGAGTGAGTTCCTTTTCATATTTCCCTTTTCCATTTAATTATTTGTTGCATTACAAGGCGATAGTCCCTTTTTGACGTGAGTGATTAGCTTCTAGTCTGTATAATAAACCAGAAGGCACTCTTAAGCCCAGATAATTTGCATTTTAAGCTATTTCGGGCTAAATATACTCACAATCTTGTCTATCGTAAATTCATACCCTCAAATTTTAAAACAAGTCGTCTTTCCCCATTAAATTTGTCAAGAGCTCATTATTTGCTTTATAATTAAGTACTGAGGCTTTACCTTACGTAATACAATTATTTGTCCTTAAGTTATTGAAATTCACCCCCAAGAGGTCCCTCATTCCTTCGTATTCGCATACAAACAGTTTTTAGCCGCTTTTATATCTCTCTATTTCCAGGGGGAGTTGCGTATAATTGCGTTGTACCTGTTAACCCTACGCAGCTCTAAACTCAGCTGCAACCTTTGTCTCTGTCCGCTGGTCACCTTCAACGCGACTGCCCTACAGCTGTTAAGAAAATAATCTTCGGCGGTTGCTGCTCAGTGGCTGCAAAGTGAGGAGCGTATCGTATGCAATTAATTTTTTATTATATAATTTTTACTTGCTTACCTTCGATAACTTCATTGCAATGGTTGATTCTGGTGGGTTTGAGACGGATCTTAAGACATTATATTTAAAACGTAGTAGCATAAAGGGTCGCGTAACTAAATTTAAAAATTACTTAGATGACGTAACATCAATTAAGGATATCTCAGACTTAGAGTTAAGTAAATGTGCGATGAAATTATTAAGAATTGAGTCTTTATTCTCTGAGTTCGACGAATTGCAAAACCAGATCGAGGAGAAAATAGCAGCCTCTGATCTAGATACTGAGTTGATTTCGCGTGAGCTAATTGAACAAGATTTTGATAACTGCATTTCTATTGGTCGTAGTTTAGTGCAAAGGGGCTTACAGCCTAACCAACCCAGCCCTCATTGTTCAAATAACGATAGCCATTTTACTTCAGTTAATGAATCCGTGAGTTTTAAGCTGCCTGTAATACAAATTCCTAAGTTTGACGGCACATATTACACAAAAATGGTTAGAGTTTAAGGAAACCTTTGGTTCATTGATTAATGACAATGATAAAATTCAAAACATTCACAAGTTTCATTATTTAATCTCCTATTTGGAAGGCGAAGCGGCTCGCGTTATTTGCAACTTAGAAGTTTCACATCAAAACTACAATGAGGCTTGGAAGCTCTTCTGCGAGCGATTTGACAACAAAAGGCAATTAATTAGCAATCATTTAAATTCGCTATTTAATTTTACCTGTGAGCGAGAGAGCGACAAGTCCTTACGCTTTATTATTGATCACGTAACAAAGAACTTGCGGGCTCTCAGTACTCTGGGATTGCCTACCGAAAAATGGGACGTTTTAATTATACATATTGTGTCTGCTAGGTTAGATAGCACTACCTCTTTAAAATGGGAGGAGCATAGAAATACTCTCCCTGAAATTCCTTCGCTTAAGGATTTATTCATTTTTTTTAAAGTGTCGCGCAGATGTTCTTGAGAGCGTTCATCGTAATAAAACCAAACAGGTGACGACTTCTTCTAGTAAAGGGCAAACGAAATCGCTGATCGTTACTTCTAAAGGCTCTAGTCTAAATAATTCTCCTTCCTGTAAACCATCGAAAAGGACTTTCGAATGTATGGTATGTAAGGGTGATCATCGTATCTTCGAGTGTCCAGATTTCAAATCTAAGACTCCTGAAGAGAGTGTTACTACGGCTACGTCATTGAATCTTTGTAAAAATTGTTTAAGACCGGGTCACAACGCACGAGAATGTAAGCTTCATACGAGTATCTTTTGTCGTATTTGTAAAAAAGACATAACTCAATGCTTCACTTGGATATTAATACCGAAAATGCTAACTCTGTTCCAAATGAAACGTTGTCAATGTCGGCAGTTTGCGCTTCTGAAGTCTTATTATGCACCGCCAAGGTCCGAATCTCTAATCCGGAAACCGAAAATACTATAACTGTGCGAGCAATACTTGATAGTGGGAGCCAGTATTCATTTATTACTGATACTGTAAAACAAAGACTTAAGCTGGCTTCTCAGCCATCAAATATAAATGTTATAGGAATTGGCAACAAGCAGCTTAATATAAAGACGGAGCGTTGCGCTATCCGCCTACAATCTCATGATGATTCCTACAATGTTATTACGTATTGTTTTACTATACCCACAATATCAGAACATCTACCAAAGGCGCGACTTGATACAAAACATCTTCATTTATCGGGCATCCAACTAGCAGATCGCTACTTTTATGAGCCTTCTTCTATCGACATGTTAATAGGGGCTGATTTGTTCTGGGACCTTATTGGGTCGCAGCAGCGCTCTTTAGGAAAAAATAACCCGGTCGTTCGTAGCTCGCAAGCTTGGTTGGCATATCGCTGGCCCCATGCCCATTAAATCTAATATATCCACAAAACAATTTCAATGCAATTTCTTAACAAAGGAGCAAGAGTTAACTGACATAGATGATCAATTATCTAAATTCTGGGAGTTAGAAAGTGTCCCACAAACTAAGGCTCTAACAAATGACGAAAGGCTTTGCCAGGAGCATTTTTTAATGAATATCGTTCGTGAACATGATGGAAGGTTTTGCGTAGGGTTTGCCTCTCCGAATTAAAAAAAATTGTCTTGGCAATTCATATTCACTGGCCAAAGAAAGGTTTATGAATTTAGAGAAGCGTTTCAAATTAAAGCCACAACTCAAGGAGCTCTACGTTCGTATTTATTCAGGAATACGCCCAGCTTGGTCATCTCTCGCCGTCTCCTATAAAAAAGCCAATTAATGCATATTTTCTTCCTCATCACCCGGTGATGAAGGAAAAGAGCGAGTCTACAAGGCTTCGTGTAGTATTCGACGCCTCCGCGCAAACTACTTCTGGTATGTCAGTTAATGATTTACAGATGAAAGGCCCTGTTATCCAAGACTCCCTCATTAATATTCTATTACGATTTAGATTGTACAAATACATTATTTCGGGCGACATTGAAAAAATGTATCGTCAAGTTAATGTCCGAGAGTCGGATAGAAACCTTCAGTTAATTTTGTGGCGTGATAAGGAGGCCGATCCTCTTCAAACTTTACAGTGCATACTCTTACTTATGGTTTTTCTAGCGCGAGTTTTTTGAGTACCAGGTGTTTGTGGCAGCTTGGCGAGGAATGTGAAGATTCGAACATTAAAACAATCATCCAAAGGGACTTTTATTGTGATGATTTGCTTACAGGAGCAGATAGTAAACAAGAACTGCTTCACATTCAGCGCTCGGTTGCCAATGAGCTCAAAAAAGGTTGCTTCAACTTAAGAAAATATAGATCTAACTTATTTGAGCTTCGAGAGTAGCTCTATAAACAAGGAAGAAGGCAATCTAGTTATCAGTAATGCTACAAACACTCTAGGTATAGGGTGGTCTCCACACTTAGATCAAATACATTTTCAAATCGAATATACCCCTACGACAGTTTTCACTAAAAGATCCATATTGTCATCGACTTTTAAAATTTTTGACCCTTTAGGGCTATTATCTTTGTGCACAATTAAGCCGAAAATTTTGCTACAAAAATTGTGGGCTGAAAGGTTAGATTGGGACGAACCCGTTTCTCAAAGAATAAAATCGACTTGGCAGCGTTTCATTCTCCATTTAGAGTCGTTGTCTTCTCTAAAAATCCCGAGATGGATTTTAATTGATAAACCAATCTATATGGAAATGCATTGTTTTTGCGATGCCTCGCAAATAGCATATGGCGCGTGCATTTATTTGAGATCGTGTAACGCTAATAGTGACATAACTGTTAAACTTTTATGCGCTAAAACTCGTGTAGCGCCCCTTAAGGCTACGACTATCCCCAGACTTGAACTCTGCGCTGCTCTTTTGGGTGCTCAATTAGGCTCTACTGTCATTCAAGCTCTAAGGTGCAAAATTCATCTTCAAGTTTATTGGACGGACTCTAGTGTAGTATTAGGTTGGCTAAACTCATGTGATAAGGCTAAGCTTTTCGTCGCAAATAGGGTGGCAGCTATAACTGAGCTTTCAAGCACCGCGAATTGGCGGCATGTGCCTACCGCCCTAAATCCAGCCGATCTTGCCTCTCGCGGAGTAGATCCTCAAGACGTGTGCGCCTCCTCTATATGGTGGGATGGTCCACCATTTCTACTTAAACCGGAGGCTGAGTGGCCAAAATTCAAATCCTGTAGCGTAGAGCTGCCTGAAATGCAATCCATTTCCACCTTAGTCGCGGAAGCTTGCACTAAGGCCCCATTTGATTTTAAAAGGTATTCTGACTTAACTGTGCTACAAAGAGTATATTCTAGAGTTTTTCGATTTATACATAACTGTCGTAATCCTAGCTGCAATTTATTAGGTCTTCTTAGAGTTGAAGAACTTCAAAATTCATTAACAGTTTTAATTAAAATAGCTCAAAGTGAGTCCTTTCAGAATGAAATAGAGCTTCTTCGTACTAAAGGGGCCTTGTCATCCAAGGCGCCTTTATCTTCTCTAACTCCATTTCTAGATGTGTGAGTGGCATTCTGAGAGTTGGCGGAAGAATCGATGCTTCCACTTATGCTTATAATAAGAAGCATCCCCTCATTTTAAATGCAAAACACTATTTAACTGAATTAACTTTTCAAAGGGAACATAAACAACTGCTCCATGCGGGGACCTCAGCAGCTTCTTGCCTCTATTAGGGAGCGCTACTGGCCGACTGGCGGTAGAAAATTAGCTAGGCAAGTGACCTATAATTGCTTAGTATGTCGTCGCTTTAAGGGTCAACCAATGACTAATATTATGGGTAATCTTCCCTCCGATCGCTTAATGCCTGATTATCCATTTTGCACGGTTGGCATTGACTTTGCTGGCCCATTTCTTATCACTGACCGCAAGGGAAGGGGATGCAAAATAACAAAATGTTATCTGTGTATATTTATCTGTTTTCGTTATAGATGTATACATTTAGAAGCTGTAAGTGAGCTATCCAAAGATGCCTTTTTGTTGACTCTTAAAAGATTCATCGCTCGCAGAGGACAGCCAAAGACAATTTTTTGTGATAATGGCAGAAATTTTGCCGCGACTGCTAAAGAGCTAAAAAATTTTTTGCAATCAAACAATGACTCTATTTATGATTTTGCTGCTTCTCGGGGCATTGAGTTTAGATTCTCCCCTGCATACGCTCCTCACTTTAATGGTCTCGCTGAGGCTGGCGTTAAATCAGCCAAATTCAATATTTATAGAATTATGGGAAAAACGCATCTGACGTTTGAGGAACTATCGTCTTTGTTTGCACAGATCGAGGCCATCCTGAACAGCAGACCCCTGTGTCCTCTCAGTCCTTCACCAAATGACTTCCAACCTCTTACACCGGCTTACTTTTTAATTGGCAGGCCATTGACGTCTATTGCATCACCCAGCTTCGTGGACATCAACAGCGGACGTCTCGATCGATTCCAGCGTCTCGAGCAAGTGAGGCAGCACTTCTGGCAAAGATGGACACGCGAATATATAGCAGAACTACAACAGCGCACAAAATGGCGAGCGAAATGCAGGGACCTGCAATTAAACGATTTAGTTTTGATAAAGGAAGAAAATTCGCCACCTCTCTGCTAGCGTCTCGGGCGAATCAGCAAAATATTTCCTGGCTCTGATTGTGTTCCCCGCGTCGCGGACGTCAAAACTTCTAATGGAATGATTAGAAGAGCTATAAATCGGCTATGTATCCTGCCCATACACGACGCAAGTACTGCTTGAAATCTTTAGCTCAGATTTCAAGGGCCCGGGAAGATGTTCGCGCCGCTTTCGTCTTAGCGTTTTTAGTATTTATTATTTAAGTAAGATGTAATGTAACTCGTATAGCAATTATTATGTCTAACGTGTAGGTACGTTTGATTTGTTAGGCTAAGTAATAGTACTAAGTTTCACCGTAATTGTTTACGTTTAAGGTCCATATTTCTTTCTAATAAATCCATTTGTACTTCTACCAATGGCATATCGTTACGTTTGCATACGTAATACTGGCAATAGCCAACGACTGTTTAATTGAATTATTCAATGTACCTTTACCTTCTGGCCTCTTAATCTGTTAGCATGTCCTATTTAATATTTTTAAAATAATTGTGTACAAGTTAAATAGTACATTAAAATAGATTACTGAGACTCCTTCGAAGTTTCATTTCTTTGTACCATATTGTACACATTGAATAAAACTATTTTTACGAATTTTATCGCGTTTAATTTAACTTATTTTTAATTCTCAACGTTTCAATAGAGAGGGAGGCTGGGTACTACCACCTGCTTGGGATTCTGTAATTAATAAAATTAAAATTAAACCCAAGCATACCACTGCAATATTGAAGTATTGTACACATTAAGCTCATTCTGCGTAGATCGGGCCATAATAAATAATTAAAAAAGTTGAAGGTACTCCGGATTAACTTTGACATCGGGACGTTTATCACCTCAGTCCCCCGTGACCATGGGTTGCTGTAAAGCACCCGAAACTTCGGAAATTTAAAATAAGTAAATTAAACGCGATAAAATCCGAAAAAATAATTTTATTCAAATTTAAAAGTTTTAGTAAAACGCCTTCTATACTCTATACACCTTCACAAACTTGTAAACGTTATTTTTTGAGTTGAGTTGTTATTTATTTGAAATTATTTTTACCAACGTACTAATATATTAATAAAATTTTCATTTATTGCTCTGTTTTACATGAAAAAGAATTATTATCTGTATAATATTAGAGATAACGACACGTTAGAAAATAACGGACACGTTAGTATCGCAAAAACTCGAACATGACTGGACCGAGTTTGATGACATTTTAAGAATGTGTTTGAGTGCTAGATGATTTAATTGATTCACAATTGAATCCGGTAGGTAGCGCTGTTGTCGAGATCCATAAACACCCGTGCGAAGCCGGCGCGAATCACTAGTTCTCTATGTAATACAAAAAAATATATAAATAGATATCTTTAATCCATTGGATTTCCAACATTATTTTCATCAATTTTATATATCTGAGCGTGATGGTCACGCGAGTTCGTGCTTTTTCCTCATCCCAAAAGTGGCCAACTTGTCTGAAGAAGTTTTCACAAAAAAAAAAAAATTACCTCTATGTACTCTAAGTTTGCTCTCTCTAACTCAACATATTTTAAGTGTACTAAAAGTTTTGTATAGCAACTAAAATATTTAACAAACTGCCAGTGGCTATAAAACTACAATATAAAGTAATTCAAAAGAACTATAACTCTGTGGCTCCTTGACCGACGTTTTTATTCCATAAAAGACATATTAAATACGAGTAGATTAGATACAAAAGTGACACTATATATATATATATATATATATATATATATATATATATATATATATATATATAGTGTCACTTTTGTATCTAATCTACTCTATCTACTATATATTATACGTGGTTATAGTTGTGCTGGAGACCACAGCATCCACTTAGAATGAGGTGAACTGTGTGCTAGTTCATCACCCTTATCCTATAAAAAAGAATGTTTTTCTAATTTATTATATATGTTATTACTGTTCATAATAATGAAAACTTTTGTTATTACTGAATTCTCTATTTGTTAATAATTTCTTATTTCTATTATTATTATTAGTTTCAACATAATCAGGCATTACTTAAACTTATTTAAAAAAAACTAAGAATTATTTACTGTGTTATTTTTATGCCGATGTAAGACATTAATGATCCTAAATGTTATGATGCAACAATTTATTGTACTATGTCTCAGAAATAAATTAAATTAAATCAAAAATACTGAATATAATACATTTTAGAATTCAGCCTTAACCTACTTCCTGACGTATAAATAATTGTTATGATCTATACCTATTCTTTTTTTTGCAACGCCTGTAAAAGGTTACTAAGAGATAAGTACCCTAAGCGATTTATATTGAGACCTTAATATACACTTGAAAAAAAAAAACAATATACGTGATTACTTGAATCTTTGGCAACGCACCTGCAATTCCCGTGGTAATGCAGTTGTTTCATAGGTGGCGGTAATCACTTACCATCAGATGAGCATGCGGCTCGTTTTCCCTCTCTTCTATAAATAGAAATAATTATAAAATATTTTTTTAGAATTAGAGCGACAAATGGCTACACAGTCCACCTGATGGTAAGTGGATGCCTTGGCCCATAGACATCTGGAAAGGGAACTTGAACTGTATTACGGTGGTAAGGAACCCTTAAACGGGGTTCCCCTTACCAGTTAAGGTAATACACGTTAACTGGTAGGGGAACCCCTTTTAATTTTAAATGTATTTAAATTTTCATTATTTGTTATTATAGCGGCAGCAGAAATACGTATTCTGTGAAAATTTCAACTGTCTACCTATTACGGATCATGAGATACAACTCGCTGACATACAGACTGACGGACAGCGGAACCTAGGTAATAGGGTCCCGTTAGATACCCTATGGGTACGGAACCCTAAAAAGGTTCTTCATTTCTTTAAACTACCATACGAAGCACAACAGTATGGAGCTGCTATTTTACGTTAGTATTCTGTGAGAGCGTGGTCCTGCCCCGGTTGTAGCACGAGTGGACCGCCATTCTTGCTACAATCATAATATAACGAGGGCCAATAATCTTCCACTCACCAGATGGCGCTAGTTGTGACTGAGGTAAAGAATTTTTGTTACACAATGTCAGTTAATTGAGAAATTAGTATTAAATAGGACTTTATCATTATTATTAATACACAACACAATGTTTCAGTGGTTTGCTCTTTCATTTCGCGCACTTTATAGCTCTTTTTTATTTAAAATCGGCTCTTAGTTATATTTATGGTTTGGTTTATTCATTTCTAATCTAATTAAAATTATAACTAATAATACAGAAAGAAACATTGAAGTTTACATTTTCCTAAGAAATTATCGTCCCCGCTATGAAATCTGTCAAATATTTTACCTCATTGTAAAGTGGCGCCGACCTGGTGGCAGAAAAAGGTCTTAGATGCCCTCACTACAATGCCGTTTATAAATCTCGTAAAAAGACGTCGTTCTTCCACCCCAAGAGGAATTACAGGCTAAATTTATTTTCCAGAGCATCGCCACCAAACTGGTCACCCTCGAAACGTCTGATTGCACGTGTCGAAGGTCACTGAGCAATCAGACAGAGCTTGTTAGGGCGTGTGAGGGTGTTAAGAGTTGCTGGGGGCGTGTGTGGGTTCGAAGCTGAATTAATTAACGCCTCTGTTAGTTATTATACATTTATATTGGCAACACTGATTATAGAATCTATGATCAGAGTCTTTTAGGGATGGGCAAGGGGAAAATATATCGATATATATCGAATCGATATTTTTAAATAGTATCGATATATATCGCGTGATAAATATCGATACATCGATATATCGTCATCATTTGCATGATGTAAAGAAAAGGTCCAAAATTTTATGTTACTGACTGTTGGACGACGAAAAAAAAACATTATTACATTGTCATTAATACAACATTTCCAAATATATCGTAATTGATACGAATTCGATACTCTTAAATAAATATGGATATTTCGATATATCTATATTTTTGCTCAAGTCTTTGGCGGATGTTGTTGCGTAGTATTTCTTGTAATGTGTAATGTGTGATTTTGATGATTGTCTTTAAGTTAATAAAAGTAAAGTTATGTTATGTAAAGCTGTAAAGGTGATTAATAAAACATAATATAATAAAGAAGGAAGTTTATTTAACCAATTACATTAACAGTCTTAAATTAAAATAGTATAATATAGAAATAATGCTGTATTTTATGTGCCCTGTAGCGGCGGTGTAAGAATATTCACTACCCCATATCATCCCGTGGGTGTCGTAAGAGGCGACAGAGGTAAACTAACCAAGAGATGGACAGCAGCGTCTTCCCAATAACGACTAAAACTAAAAAACTGTGGATGCCAACCCGCTTGCCATGCGTGACGACTATGGCACATATCTCCCCCTATGAGGCAATCTATGGCTGTAACGGTAACGCCAACGGAGAGACATTTGCCATAGTTGCCAGCTTGGCAGGCGGGATGGCCATCGCAGTTTTTGAGATGCAGGTAGATATACTCACGCATTTTTTATTTATTTACCACAGGTTCGGAAAATACGTCTGTCCTGGGAAGAACCAGCAAGAAACAGAGCGGGACTTTTTTTAAACATATTTCACTTAACAATAATTTGTAAAGTGATATGGGGTAGTGGATATTCTTATCATATAGTTAAAGTAAAATAACTAAGGTCAGTATATATATATGTCTCACTGCTGGTTACAGGCTTTAGAAATCTTGTATTACAGGAGTCGCAGAAAGGAATATTGATACGCCTGATTGTTAGTTGTTTCCTTAACTAATTTTACAGCACGAAAAGCCCCTCGATCATTATTGCAATCGTTTCAATAATATCACACAATGGTTGTAGCTACCCCTACTACCAATCCAAAGTGAACATAGCAACAGTTTTAATGTGTAAGAATTATACAATCCAAATACTTTTATAATATGAAAATAAGTAAACCACCGTCATAAATATTACTGATAAGTCAATTAATTACAATTGTTTAGCAAATGAAAATACTTATATAACATTCTTTACAAATCTCCCAAATTCTAAATTAAAATAACTGAGAAAATTATCTATGATAATTATTATGACAATACAATGAGTTATAATCTATTAATAATATATTTGTAATTAAAAAAATAATAATATAAAACAAAACGATAATTACACAATTATTATTTTAATGAATCATAATAGGAATTATTTAACAATCACTGATAACACTTGTCAGCCTCGAAAACAGTCATAGCCTCTCGGTATTCTATAGGATGCATTTCGGTGAGTGTGCGCAGGAATTACACGCTTTGATTCCTCCCTCTCCTTTCCACCATCGGACACCAAGGCGGTCGGCGGCTCTTCACCACTTTGTTGTCAATATTCCACGCATTAGAACCAAACGATTTGCTTCGTCTTTTGTAATGCGTACATCAAAGGATTGGAATCATTTGCCGGCGTCTGTCTTTCCATCCAAATACAATCTGGGCGTCTTCGGCTTTTGTTAGAGTGAATAGGCTTTTGTTACGCTAAGACAGTACGATTTACCATCTAAGGCTGCATCACCACTTACCAACAGGTGGGATTGTGGTCAAGCACGGGCTTATAATAAGTAAAAAAAAGTGAAAGGTCATCTAGATTCC